TTTTTGGGCCTCCGACTCCAACCTATCCTTTTGACACAGATGTGGATTTCGCACTCCCAGCTTGCAGGTACAAACATCAAGCAAAACAATTCTGTAGACACTTTGTCACTCGGTGCCATGCTTCAGAGTTTCTCGATGTTTCACCCTAATGAGGTAGACATTCATATCCGAAGTCCTTTGTTAACAATGTTAACCATTCCTCTTCTAATTGAAACCCTCCCGGCGGCAAATTTCCATACCCTTCAAATAGAATGGCAAAAGCAATTTCTTCTATAATAGATGTGCGTACTATACTCACTTGGGCCGCACCCCGACTCAGGCAGCGGACGGCGGACAACTTGTTGGTTTTGGAAAGACGCTCGATGTGCACTGGACATGAGGGGACCAATGCTTGTGCTTGGGCGAACATACAGATTTTGGAAGGTTCCAGAAACATATGAAGAAGTGGGAAGAGACATGAAAAGACCATTTTTCCAATGGACTCATCCCGAGGACAACTCTTAAACTTGCTGTTGTCAGCTTTCCAGGCATTCGGCCTTGAGCTATGAAGAACTTCTGAAGGCTGAGCCTCAGTGCCCTATCCATTGACGCCGTTAGCTTTGGGGCTTTTGGCGCTGTTTGTTGTCGGGGACTTGGAGTTCAAAGCTGTTCGTTCGGTCCCAGAGGGTATCCAAGGTTTAGGATTCACAGCTAAGTCAGTTATTTCAAGTAGTAACAAGTGCATCGCTAGTAGTAACATGTGCCTTACTAGTAGTAACAAGAAGCTATTAGTAACAAGTGATTCATATTGATTCAGTTCTTTCAAGTGATTCATTGATTTCCAAAAGCTCCACAGATCCAACCTCATGCTGTAGAGACTAAGCGGTAGTGATTTCAGGTACTGCAGTTGGGTGAAGACGAAATATGCCAACCAAGTGGAGGCAAAACTGCATGAGTGCACATCAATGCTTGAATGGCCATGGATGCCCAGGTGGTGGGAGGCAATGGGAGGAATACCATTGGTCACTAAAATCCTTTAGAATGTCTACAAACCTCAAAGTTCAATATCTCCAACATTAGATTAAATTAGATGCGTACTCACTTCTGCACAGTTGCCACCTGTTGCTGGTCCTTTCGCCAATCGTCTCGCCAGGCTGGGGAAGGGATGACCCCACAGTTCAGAGCGCTGGGATCTTATCTTCAAGGCTCAACAAGATGCATAATTCTGGCGTGTGCCTGAATCAAAGGGTCTCACATTGGCTATAGATGCACCTCATGCCATCAACTATTCTGCTGTGCTGGGATCTTCAAGGAGGTATCAGAGTCTTGATGCATGCAGGCTTAGGGGCACGTGTAGATGTATGTCTGAAACTGCTTTGCGAAGACTCGGGAGGGTGTTCCTACAAAGACGCATGCATACACCTAGTGAGCTCTTGGTGTTGCCAGGCGTCCAGGTTCCGTCTGCCCCCATGCGCAGCCCTGCCGGCAAAGCTCAGGTGCTTTCCATCGCTTCACAGACGTGTCTCCGCAGTCCTGCTTGTAGGTTCCAAAGGCCCAAGACTGCTGGATGCATTTGGTGTTCACGATGTCTGGCACTCCGGGATGCCAGACGGGCTTCAACAAAGCTGCACAAGTACAAGCTGCAAAAGCCGCACAAGCCGCCCAGTCCCATGGCCAAGAACCGAACACTGACTCGGCAAATTTGCCAGCCGAGAAAGGCTGTTTTGCACCCATCTTGAAACATAGAGTCCTCAGAGTCCTCTATTGAGTAGTTTGCTTTCCAGGAAGGGTTGTGCCTTCAACAGAAGCCCTTAAATGCCAATCATGTCATGTGAGCCATGTCTTGCAGTTTTCATGCAATGTCTCAAGAATCTGGAAAGCCGCCAAAGTTGGTGGCACATGACCAAAAATCTTTGTGAGTAGGATACCCAGTTCCCGTTCTTGTTTCCACTTGTGAGAACATGGAGATCCTCATGGAGATCCTCATAGAGAATCGCTCCAAATCCATACAAATCCATCAGTCCCTGTCCCAAATCTGCTGGGTCGCTGCATCTTTCGGCCAAGGCGTGGGCCGTTGGGGGATGGACAGTGGCTGATGAGCTTTGGCAAGTCCAGCCAGTCTGTTTGCAGGGAATAGGTCAAACGTTGTGAACCACGAACAATGGGCACCAAATATGGAGAAATCTGAGATGATCACCGACCATGTTTACTTTTTTGAGCAGAGAATACCTGGCGATGAGTCGGCATTACCTGGAACGCTATTATGGAAGTGGGACCTAGGCAAATTATCTACCGTTGCTGGATTTGAGTGGATTTGCAATTTCTGCCTTTGTTCTACAAGGGGCTACTACTCACGAGAAGAATTGAGAGGTCCTGGCAAATGCCATGAGTAGCGCCACATGCAGTGATGTGCACATGCTGCACATCTCAGCGTACAAACATGCTTTTTGTCCCGGTGGTGTTTTGATCCTTTTGCCAGAGGAATCAAGCCTGGGCACCACAGTTTTGGAGGTTTCTTGTCTGGTGAGGGTGGCCGGAACGTGGCATTGTACAGAGATGTACAGAGCCTACTTTCGCGACTCCACTACAGACGATTCCCTGCGGAAGGCTGCATTTCCCGACTGCCCTAACCTTTCATGAACACCGTTGACTCTTTGTCAGACTGGCGACGCATTTGCCAGGCGTGCATACGAAGTGCAACATATCACGTGTATTTCATATTCCCACCACGGTTCGTCGCATTGTCCATGTCGGTTCGTCCACAATCGACCATCGCAGCTGCCAGGCACCAGGGTCTCAGTTTCGCCGAGGCGTGAAGTCGCTCTTAAGCCGGTCGAGCAAGTTTTGGTACGGATTTTGGGCCCCAAAGTTGATCGGAGCTGCGGCCAGGGGCTAGAAGTCGGGAATTGTGTGGCTTCAAGCGCTAGGGCATCTGCTTGGGACTTGACAACACTTGATATTATTTCGATCGACTAGCCGCCCGGACAGACATCAAGACAGAGAGAGAGAGAGAGCGAGCGAGAGCGAGAGCGAGAGGTTTCTTCTGCCGGGAGTATCTTTCTACTTCCTTCTCCCTTTGCTTGTAGGTAAGTCGCTTTATCGACCGGGCGAACGGTGGAATTTTGATGCATTTTGGTTGGGTCTTTTGAACTGATCCACCATTAACTTGGGTTTATATGTTATTCCCTTATGAACGAAATCCAAATTCAAAAAGAGAACAACAAAAGAACACAGATATTCATTCATTATCCATCAGTCTTATAACAATATATTTCTTAGGGTTATAAAATTGGTGGATGTCTCTTATCATTATTCGCCATCTATTTTTATCTTGCTATTGCAAAATAAATGGTGGATAAATTGAAACATATACACTTTGTCCTTTATAAGCTATAGAAGTCTTATTTAGGAACACGTGGATTATTAGAAACCTGATTATAATGCCATCAATTTATCAGCTATATATAAGAAGTTTCATAGTAATTGTTGGCCTTATAATCACCAAGAGACGGCCAACATAGAACTCTTATCCGTCTTTTGGGTTCACTCTTCCTATTGAATTTTGATCATAAATATCATAAATGCATTGTCCATCTACCAAAATTCATGAAAATAAGAAGAGTGAACAAACATGACCACCATCATATTTTACCTGGCAAAGATAAATAATTCCAGATACAATATGTGTGATGGTGGGGAATGTGAGAGAATGGATAACCTGTGCTCCACCATTAATTTTCAGGGTGTTACCAATAAACAGTTATATATACTGATCCTACACCGGCCCTCACGTTTTGGACCCCACAAGGGGTCGAAACTTTCAGAAAAAAACTAAACACCTCTCAAGAAGAGCGACTTGATGTTACAAAGTTTTTTGCTCAGCTATCGTTATTCCTCATGCTTTCTGAAGTCTCCACAAGAAGCTGCCGTGGTCCCTTTCAGGTGTACTCCAAGGATCGTGGCTACTGCGAGTACATGGTGGACCAAGTCCTCACCCGTGATGGTAAGGCCGGGTCGAACTACTGTCACCAACCAGGCCCAGGCCAACGTCCCAACCAGGCCAACGTCTCGGGCTGTGCATTTGCGACCTATGTCCTGTACAACGCTTTACAAGAGGCCGGTTTTCTGGAGACGGGCAGATGGATTCTGGTCAATGTTCCAGGCTTGAACTATCAGGTTGTTTGAGATTTGTTATGATTTGTTGCTCTGATGGCAGCCGGAACCAATCGCCCTGAGCCAAGGTGATGCAGCAAACGAGCGCCAAGTGACAGCAACAACTCTGAAGAACACTTGCGGTAAATTTAGATGGCTGCTGAGCAGATTTGGGGAACGACCGGGGTTCTTTTGGTCATGCAAAAGTGGTGAGTGCAGCTTCTGCCGCATAAATTGAAAAAGGCAGCGTGCTTGCTTTGCAGAAAGACGGGTGAATGGGCTCCTGGCACGTAAGGAAAATCGCAGAAGGTCATGCGGGTGAGGCTCAAGAAGTCAGACAAAGGACGTGTCACAGAGGTCGATTTTTCCTCTGCAAGGGGGTTAAGATGGGTTAGGGTATTCAAGGTGGCACCGTATTTTTGAGTCGCAGCCATACAAGAATAGGCGGGGCCTCTTTGTGCGAGTTATAT